TTTTGATCCACATGTATAATTCCTACCAATTTTCATCCACGATTATTGTTTTTGTACCAATTTTCATTCACAACTATTGTTTTAGTGCTAAAATTCATCACGCCAGTCATCCCTTCGTTTAAGACATGCCGAAATATGAAATTATTAAGGATAGTTTCGTGCTTTCAAATTAGGATCCCTATTTGAGCATGAATAAAGAGATTTAAGCTCTAAGATCTATCACAATTCGCAGTTTTCCTCCTCAAATTAAGGTAGGATGAGGAAAAGAACTGGGAATTGGGATCGATCTTAGGGCTTAACTTCATTTATTTATGCTCAAATTGGAATCTTAAGTTAAAAAGGACGAAAATGCCCTTAAAATTTTTAAATTTTGGAATGTCTTAAATAGATTGGTGACCAATGTGATGAATTTTGGTACTAAAATAATAGTCGTGGATTAAAATTGGTATTAACACAATAGTCGTGGATGAAAATTGGTAAGAATTAAATATGTGAACCAAAATTGTCATTTTACTAATACTCGTGGGACCAAAATTGGTATTTGCTGAATTTTTCTAGATGTACTTTCCTAAAATCTTTTAGATTTTCGTTAACTATATGTACCAATCTATAAAAGTCCGGTAGGAAAAGATTATATTGGCTTTGATTAGCCCTTGAATGATTCTGAGATGAAGGTTCCTCTTCACTAAGTCCCCCCCACCCTTTGTGCTGAAGAGTTAGCAGGGCCCTTATATAGATGCAGGTCCAGATCTTTCAGATATAAAATATTTCTCAAGTGACACTTGATCATGACTCGATACCAAACAAATACCCCAAACGTATAGGAGGTATATCTGGAGAATAATCTCTATCATATTTCATAACTTCTATTGACACATTATATTTATAACTTTCTTACAACAATTTTTATATTATAATATATTTTTATAAATCATAAATAAATTAATACATTGCAAAAAAATAAAAATAAAAATTGATTGCCACAAAAATAGGGTGTACTATAATTTATAAATATAAAATCAATTTTCATTAAATGATATAACCAATAAAGTTTAAAGCCTATTTTTCCCTCTCTCTATTTAAACCTAAAATTATCTGTCTTCCCTCTAAAAGAAAACTTTGTTTCAATTTTCCCAACCAATTTCCTGTTAATCTCAGCGGTGCCATTGTTCCGATGAATCCCTCTTCTCCATGGCCATGCATGGCATGCCACCGGAGCCCCCCAACATAATAGCTCAGCTTACAGGGAAAATTAAATGATAAAAATTAAAAGTGAGTATTTATGAAAGTTTTGAAATATACCGTAAAATTTGACAGAAAGAGATGAAATGTTTGGGATTGGAGGGTAGGATGATTTCAACTATTTATATTTATGAAGGAAAAGTTTATAGAAATTGTATCCTGATAGAGTCTATGAAATTTAATAAGTTTTTAAATACTAATAGACTTTTAAAGACTCTATAAACGTCTGAATCGAATACCAGTGATAGAGAATATACTTCGGGTATACCGCCCTACACTTTCTATACGTCTATTCGGTATTGGGTACGAATCAAAGGCCTATAAAAGGGGCCCTAGCCCTTCATTCGAAGAGGGCTAGCTGCCTTTTGCACTTTTGTTCTAGACACTCTCTAAAAACACTTTCTCTCTCTAATTTTTTTAAAAAAAAAAAAAAAAAAAAAAAACTATTATACCCACATTGTTGGAGTTTTTAGCATAAAATAACATAGATAGTGATTATTTTATGATACAAATATATCTGGTGTCTACTCCCGATTTGGGTCTGGTCAAAGTGGATTTGCGCTCTTCGCAGTGAGACGAAAAAATTGACATATTGTACGCTCAAAACGGATAACGGGTGAATGAGAATTTGATTTTCAAAATAGAAACATTTGAGTTGGAAATGGAGATGGAAAAGCTTTGTAAAAAGCACTTGGTTAAGGAAGTTGGGTGATCATCCTAGCAAGGCGACTAGCTGGCACTGAAGGATAATTTGACAAGGTGTTTGTGACTATCTCAAGGATTTCCAATCGGGAGAAGCTGTAGGCTTCTGATTCACTTGTGTTTTTGAAACCCAAAATACATAGTGAAAATCCCCTTTGAAATTCAAGGGGAAGAGTGGACTGGAAAAATTTCCGAAGCACTATAAATCTTTCTTGCACTTTACATTTTCATTGTTATTATTTATTCTTTATTTGATTTCAAAATTCAAGCTTAGTGGGATTCAAAACCATGAGCATAACTCAATAACTCTGATACCACTTATTGCACCGAGCCGTACACCAAAATCTATACGAGTTTTGTGATAGTGAGAAAAAAAAAAAAAAATCTTAACAAGTTTTATATTTAATTGAGGGTAAAGTAGAAAATTACAAATTTAGAGTTCTCAAGAATAGTCTAATACCAGATCTCTTGAAATAGTTATTCTCCTTGCAGGAGGAATAACTCATTCCTGAAAGAGTTAATTACATTTTTTTGTCCTAAATGTATAGGTGGTAGTCCATTTTGAATCTTTTTTTTTTTTTCAAAACTTCAAATTTTGGTCATACTATTATTGTAGCATGACCATTTTTGGTCCTCTATCAATAAAACAGATCAATTTTCGTTAAATTTAAAGACATATTTCGGTCTTCAATTATGAATTCTTAAAAAAAAAAAAAAAGAAACATAAAAAATATGGTCGTTCATCCTAAATTGTATAAAAAAAATTAAAAAAAATAAAAAAGATCAAAATGTCTTTGTATTATTTAACTGCATTTCAATGATTTTGTTAACAGAGGACCAAAAATGATCATGCCAAGACTAAATAAGAATGTCGGGATCGGATAAAAAAAGACTAACAGTACGTTTGGTTCACGGAATGAATTTGGAGGGAATAGGAATGCTATTCCACAGGGAATGGAATAGGTAAGGAATAGAATAGGAATTGTATTCTGTTGTTTGGTTGGCTGAAGGAATAGACTTTAGTAATTGTATTCCAGTTTTGGTTGGTTAAAGGAATAGAAATTGAATAAGTTTTAAAGACATAAATACCCTTATACAAAATAATAATCTTAACTATAATAAAGCTATATGGTTGGGAAGTAATTAATGTTACAATTAATTACCAACATTATTATTATTACTAGCTATAAATATAAAATAGCCACAACATCCTTTATTATAAAAAATAAAAAATAAATAAAAAACAAAAAAAAAAAAAAAAAAAACACAACATTTAAAAAATAAAATAGCTATTTTTTCTCACAATTAATTACCAACATTATTATTATTACTAGCTATAAATATAAAATAGCCACAAAATCCTTTACTATATAAAAAAAAAACACAACATTTAAAAAATAAAATAGTTATTTTTTCAGGCCGTGGGTCAATTATTGGACTTCGGAATAAATAAAAAATCATTTGAGTCATAAATAAAATTTTAAATATATATAAATGTATATATCGTATGGGTCTTTAATGTTTTTTTGGATTTCTAAACTTAGGATTTTTAAAAGAAAAAAAAATACATTTGAATTATCTCCACAAAAAGTGGTCTTGGACTTATAGAATGACATTTTGGTTTATGGAATGACATGTGCATAAAGAATATATTATATAATCATATAAAAAAAATGTGTTCAATTAGAGTTTAAATTTACTCATACAAAATTTGAAATTTGCTTTCTAAATGTTATTATCTTAGTTATTATTCGTATTGTGAAAATTATAATATAGATGAAATACAATTAAGAATAAATCAATGTAATTATGTAAATTCTCTCTATAAGTTTATTTGAATATGTACATAATTAGAGATTATATTAACCATATAAAATTTTAATTTTAATTAATTGTAATTTTTTATTCTATAAAAATAATAAATACTTGACCAATGGAAGTTCAAAAATATTATTATATTAAACAATTTAAAATATTTTATTTTTTCTAGTTTTTATTTATATTTATAATAACATAATTTTTTCCCCGTGCATCGCGCGGGTGAATTACTAATAATAATAATAATGAATATGATTATGATATACTGAATGTTATAATGAATAATAATAATAATAATAATAATAATAATAATAATAATAATTATTATTATTATTATTATTATTATTATTCAAATACATATTTATATTTATATTTATTTTCCCACTTGTCTCACATCGGTTGGAGATGTAAGGAATGGAGCCTCAAGGCTTCATAATTTCAATTGCAATGCTCATCCGCTAGGAAAGCTTTCAATGCCCATCCGATAGACATGCAGATGGGCAGGCTACATATATGTATATATATATATATATATATATATATATATATATATATATATATATATATATATATATATATAGATTGATGGATAAAAAATATAATAAATTAAACATATACATTTATATAATAAATCATATTTATTAAATAAATAAATATAAATATAATATAATGTGCAAAGCGTATTTTTAGTATTTGTGATATAAAAGCTATTCCTAAGGGTATGGGAATAGCTAATACCAAGGCCTCCCTAGGAATGGCTATTTCCTTTGCGAAGGTAATAGCTCATTCCTAGGCATGTTATTTCCATGACAAAATGATCCAACCAAACGATAGAATAGGTTAATCTAAAGAATATTATTTCATTCGTGACCTATTCCAAGAACCAAACATGCGATAAGAGTGAATTGTCGCTCTAGGACAAAAAATGGAATTAAGTCTTCCTGAAAACAAAAAGTACAACCGAACAACGGAATAAGCTTGTGTCTGCGTTCGTGGAAATGTCATTCCATTTCATCAAACCTATTCTTTGAACCAAAAATAGTGTTAGTCTTACAAAAACTCATAAACGTCATACAGGTGTGGTGTGAATACAGCGAAGTCGGTTAAGGAAAAAATGAACGCTATTCCGAGCTCTTTTTCGTCTGCTCGCCTATATATATATATATATATATATATATATATATATATATGCAGCGAGCATGTATTGTACTTCTAATCAATCTTATCTTACTAATAAATATACAACACGTGCTACCAAGCCAAAAACATGCAGCCGAACAGCAGTAGTTTACTGCCACCCAAACCTCGCCGGCATTTGACGGAGAAACATCGGCGGCAGCAAATGAAAGGCCTTTATCGTCACCTCGCCTCTCTCGTCCCCGCCGGTGAAAAATCTCTGGTATGCTTTCTGCATCCTGAAAAAAAACATATTTCTTCCGAACCCGTGACCTCGGCTCTGATACCAATTGGTGGATCTCACCGCTGCATTATGCTTACTTCCCAGTCAAACACGCTTAACCACAAAGTTCTACGGTACTCGGTTGCCATATCCTACTTAAAACCAATTGGTGATAGGTAGGTGGACATTAACCATTTAACCACATATCTCCATGGTAAGTCACAGCGTCACGTCTCGAATCGAGGGCTGAACTCGGCCAACAGACACGGCCAACAGACACAGACCAATGTTATCATGATCTTCATGCACGAAATGCATGGATTGGAACGTATATGTTTAGAACTAATTGAGGTTAATTAATGATAATTTGTTGTGGACGTACAGGAAAAGTCTCCGGCTTTCGAAGTGTTGGATCATGCCACTAACTACATCAAACAACTGGAGAACAACGTTAATGAGCTGAAAGCAAGAAAGGATAGGCTACAACAAGCAATCATAGTAGACGTGAATGAAAGTGAGAGAGGTGAAAGTTTGGAGATAAATATAGTTTGTGGATCGGAGAAGAAGGGGGCGATGAAGATGGATAAAGTGTTTGGGATTGTTCAAGAGGAAGGCGCAGAAGTTGTGAGTGCAACCAACTCCACTGTGGGTCTCAACATCTACCATACAATTCTTTGCAAGGTATAATATACACAGCAAATTTATCCATAATTAATTGCATGATTCATTTATGTATTGTTGTTTTTTGGTTAATTGTTTTTGTTGATCTTTGTTGGATAGGCATTTTCACCCAGAATTGGAATGGATACCATTCGAATACAAGAACGCTTGAAGAACTATATTTCTGACCTCATATGATTTTGTAGAATAATGAGCAACACAAGCTGAGACACCATATTGCAGATTTTTTGTTATCATTATATATGTACAATAAAAATTCATTTTAATATTTGCATAGCACTCTTACATAACTTAGTTTGAAGAAAATTTTGTGGAAGTTATAGTTTATTTTATGTGTGGAATTTATGAACTTTTGTATAAAACAACTCATTACTGATTTAAGGGTGTGTTTGGAACACGGCTGGAAATTATGGAATTTCCGACCATCTGAAATGATCTTAAATCAAGTCGAAAGCCTTGTTCCGACCATTTTTGGTATCCGGAAAAACCTTTGTTGCTATTTCCGACCATTTTTTGCTTTCGACTTGATTTAAGATTACTTTCAGGTGGTTGGAAATTCTATAATTTCCAGCGGTGGAAACCCGGAAGAAAATTATTTTCCGGATTTTCAGTGTTTGTGTGCCTGGAAAACATTTTCCGTTGACCGGAGAAAATAATGGTGTTTTGGAGGAAAATAACCCGAAGTCATTTTCTAGACCAAGGCTACAACGACGAGGAGGGCTTCCGCCAAAACTACGTTTCCGGCCGAGACCAGCAATACTGGTTTTGGCAGGAAACTAGAGCAGTTGCTATAAATATTTTAATAACATAATTTTTAATATTGTTATAAATATTTTTATATTTTATAAATAAAATAATTAAAACGTTTAATTATATAATTATACTTATTTTCTAAAAATGAACAAAAACATCAAGACAGTAAAGAAAATGTTTTCTAAAAAAATAATTATTTTTCTAAAAAATATTTTTCAAAAGTCATTTTCCTTGCTTTTTCATACAGACAGTAAGTGGTATCCTAATTCGGTGTAAACAATAGATGCTTTACAATATGGAAGCGCATGAATTCCCTTCTATATGTACATAAATTCAAATTCACTATTGTCGGTGTCAATTTTATGTACTGGCAGTATTAATTAAGATGTACCATGCATTGAGTTAGAAATTTAATAGCGGTTCGAGAACTCCTTAATTACTTCATTCTTCTCCTCATCAACACAAGGATGTGTTTCACTAGTAATTAGGGGTGTAATTTGTAAACGAATGGAATCGAGTTAAATATCTTACAATTTGATTTGACTATTTTGAGAACTATCCGTATTCATATTCGATAAATATTTGAATCTGAAATTTTATTCGTATTCGATTCAGCTACATTATTCGAATATATTCGATTCGACATGAATATTTAAATTCAAAATGCCTAATTTAATTTTTTTTTTTGTTAATATACTATTATATTAATATTCTATTAATATACTAATTTTTATTCGTTGAAGAAGCTGCTAGAGTTGCGCCCTGTAACTACTGGAGTTGCTGAGTGCTACATTTTTAATGTATATATATATATATTCGAATATATTTGAATATTAATCAAATCAAATATATTTTGATTCGTATTTGAATTCAAATAAAATTCGATTTGAAATATGTATTCGAATTTGTATTTGTATTCGAATAATTCTTTGCATATTCATTTTTATAAGGTTTTTTTTTTTTTTTTTTTTTTTTGGAAAAATTGTAAAAAATGTCCCTCTATAATATGCCAACTATCAATGTTATCCCTGAATTATGAGTGGTGTAAATGTTGCCCCTCAATTATCAAAATGGTGCACATATAGCCCTCCCGTAACGGACCTGTGGTTCCCCACCGCTGTCCATCGCTGGTACTTCGAATCAAGGGAAGGAAAAAAAAACTAAATTACATATTTAGTCCGACTTAACGGTGTCGTATACTAACGGGGAACCACATGTCCGTTAAGGAATGAGCTATATGTGCACCGTTTTGAAAATTGAGAGGCAACATTTACACCACTCATAATTCAGGGGTGACATTGATAATTGACATATTATAGAAGGATATTTTTTATAATTTTTCCTTTCATTTTTTTTTTTAGATTTTAGATATATGGACAGGTTCAAGTGAGAACAATGCTTTCCAGATTAATTGCATCCTCTATTTGGGTTGATGGCTAGAAATTAAGGAAAAATTCTGGGATCAATTTAATAAATATCATAAATTTTAAAATAGATCGACAAGATTAATTAATTTTCATTTTTTTAGAAGCATTATTCTCCGATCATTCCTATTTACAATGGCAAGCTCAAGTAAGAATAATATTTCTTGTAGCTCAACTGATCATAGAGGTGAAATTTTGGAAGAATGACCAGGGATTAAGTCTCACCAGCGGCAGTGTGGGAGCAACCTCTCAAAGTGAGGGGGCTTCTTGTGCGCAGTGAGCACCGATCTAGCCTCTGTGATTAAATGTTCAGTTGAGTCACCATGCTTTACAACCTCCCACCGTTTTGTTGGGCCGGAGTGTGGGGGCCCTTAGGGTTGGGGTTCAGCCTTGGAAGAATATTTCTTGTAAAATAATGCAAACTAATACGAGATGATCAACAGCTCAAGTTTTTTTAAATTAAAAAAAAAATAAAATAAATACGTAGTGACCATTCAAAACTATTGCAAACGTTGGACGTACGTATGACAAAATTTCATATTATCCACTGAATATAATATATATAAGAGTGTGCTCAAAACCATTTTGTCGGCGCTAAAGTTACGTCTTGGTTTGGGGGTGTTCTCATTTAATTTGTGGAAAAAACGTTTTCTCGGCGCCCACAAAACAACAAAGTATAATACTACATGCATGACGTACTATACTGCTCGTCAGCTGCAAACAATTTTAGTCCCTTTAATTTCTATGGAAATATTCCCGGCCCTTTAGAACAAAAGACTTACCACCACTAACAAGCTTAGTTACCGTGAATGGTCATGCGCTCTCATTCTTTAAAAAAGGTCGAGAATTCAAATCCCCTCTCATATAGAAAAATCAACATAGTTAGCACTCAATTGTTATACCGTGCACCAAGGTGCACATAGCAATGTGTGTCTCGCCTCCCAAAACGACGTCGTTTTGTATACTGTTATGAAATTATGTGTTTTCAGGTATAAAATTCTATACATTCGAAATAGGGGATTTTTGTCTTTTTAAAAAAGATTATGTGTTTTCAGGTATAAAATTATGTGTTTTCTATTATATAATTGTATGCATTCGAAACATAGGGATTTTCAGTTAGTGTTTTCAAATATAAAATTATGTGTTTTCAGGTATAAAATTAAGTGTTTTCAAGTATAAAATTCTGTGTTTTCTATTATACAATTATGTACATTCGAAACATGAATTTTTTTTTTTTTAACAGCAAACACGCGAAAAGGTCAAAACGACGTCGTTTTGGGTCAGGGCGCACAATGCACTGTGCGCCCTGGTGTACGGTATAATTTGCCGCCAGCACTCTTCCCCTTAATTGGACAGGCCCGATGCGAATGAGGATTTGTTTGAGTATGGTACGGGCTTAAAGGTGCATCCTACAATTAAGACCTACTTAGGACACTTCATGGTCTGACCAAACAAAAAAAGAGACTTACCACCAGTTAGATGCAATTTTAGTGGGAGTTTAAGCTCATAGTTGGATTGTCCCTCTCACTTGTGCGGAGCAACACGTGGACCATAGTCTATTTTTTTTTATAACCTATGGCACGAGATTAGCTTTGATACCAAATTAAAGCATATGCTCTACCCCAACTAAAAGTCTAAGTTAATAGTTGGATTGAATATTTTTAATATATATATATATATATATATATATATATATATATATATATATATATATATATATATATATATATATATTATATGTTGAACATGGGTGTCCACGCCAATTTTTTTAAAAAATAATATTTGCGAAATTTCAATTGTTACAATACTTTCAAATATTATTCATTCCAATTTTGTGGTCACTTTTGGTGATATTGTGTAGGGTGACCTTAAATGAAAATGAGAAGAGTGCAGTAAAAAAAATTACATCAATTTTGAATCATTATAAAACAGAAAAAATTGTAATTTATACCCCTCCATAATATGCCAATTATCAATGTCACTCCTGAATTATTAGTGGTGTAAATATTGTCCTTCAATTTTTAAAACCGTACATATAATGCTCTCCCGTAGTGTAAATGTTGCCCCTCATTTTTTAAAACACGGTACATATAGGCTCTGTTTGGCAAACCTAGATGAAAAGCTATAAGCTAGGAGCTGATAGCTGAAAAGGAGCTGAAAGCTGAAAAGCTATAAGCTCGGAGCTGAAAATTGAAGAGCTGTTAAGCTAGCTGTTATGATTGAAAGTGTTTGGTAAAATTAGCTTTTTGATAAGCTGATAAATGTTAAAAGACTAAAAGGGACATCTTCATAAAATTTAAATTAGTTTGTTTACATATTAAAATTTAACATTTCATCTTCCAAAAAAAAAGTAAACACTTTTTAAAATAAAACTATTAGCATGATCATGATCTAGCATCCCATAATTAAGTAGCAATACTGTTGCGAATCTCCTTCATCTCCATAGAGGTGTGACTTAAATTTTCGTTGATGGAGATATTACTACTTGAATCTTGAAGTTCATCGGGCAGTATGTAATCTGGATGCTGCTCAAGCACATTAAACATCATGTCATCTTGTGAATTCTTCCAAATATAATTATGTAATGCAAATGTGGGTCTCCTCACTAAACTGCGACATGTTAACAAGTATCTTCCATCTCTTATTTAATACTCCAAACGATCTCTCAATACAACTCGAAGAGAAGAATGTGCACGATTGAATGCTTCTTGAGCATTAGTTGGCGGCTCTTGTTCAATTTGAGATTGAAGCCATATTGCTAATTTAAAAATAATAATAATAACAACAACAACAACAACAGCAGAAGCAGCAGCAACAACAACAAGCTAAAGTTTCAACATAATTGTTTAGCAGGAAACAAGACTAAGAAAGGGATTGACGTGAAAGTTGGGATAGGGGAAGAGAAAGGGTTTTAATTCATAAGGTTAAAATATGTCATTACTTTAAAATAATAAGGGTAAAGATGAAAAAAAAAAAGTTAGGAAGCTAGTAGCTTATTTTGAAACGCTACCTAAAGTAGCGTTCCAAA